TGGAGGGGCTGGGGCCGGCCACCAAGTACCGCCTCACTCTCTACACGCTCCTAGAGGGCCGTGAGGTGGCCACACCTGCGACCGTGGTCCCCACTGGTGCGGACTCTGTGGGCCTGGCTGGGCATGTGGGGGTGCAGGGGCTCTGGGCTGCCTCTCAGGCTGAGCTCCCCCACAGGACCAGAAGCCCCCGTGGGCCCTGTGACGGACCTACAAGCCACTGAGCTGCCCGGGCAGCGGGTGCGAGTGTCCTGGAGCCCTGTGGCTGGTGCCACGGAGTACCGCCTCACTGTGCGCAGCACCCAGGGTGAGCTGGACGCGGCCAGCCCCCACACGCATCCCGCCGGGTCTGATCATGCCCTCGCCCCGTCTCCTCCTTCTGCTGGGGCCTGCAGCTTCCTCTGTCCTCACTCTCAGAGCCCTGTCACCACACCCGTCCATGGCTTTGCCTGTCCCCACGGCCACGGGCTCCCTCACCGCCCCTCTGCCCACCAGGCAGTGAACACTGCACTGACCACTCGCCTCACATCCCTATCCATCCACACCCGCCTGTCACCCCACAGCAGTGTCCGTCATGGCCTGTCAACTCACAGGGCTGTCCGCTGACCCTGGACCACAGACCCCTGTCGTCCTGTGTCCCCAGTCGTCACTGCCCTTTCCATCCATGTCATGTTCACAGCCTTCCACCATATGCCATCTCTTACCACCCCACCCCATCCTGTGTCCACCCTTTCCGTCCCGTATCCTCGTCCATCACTGGCCACCGCCCTGTGTCCTCCTGACCCGTCCTCCCGCTCCACCTTCTCCCTTAGGGGTGGAGCGCACCCTGCTGCTTCCTGGGAGTCAGACAGCCTTTGACCTGGATGACGTGCGGGCTGGACTCAGCTACAACGTGCGGGTGTCTGCTCGAGTGGGCACCCGCGAGGGTGGTGCCAGCGTCCTCACTGTCCGCAGGGGTGAGCGCTGCAGGGACTTGTGGGGGACAGCGGCCTGAGCCACGCTGGTCCTGGTCCTGACCCATGGCCTCTGTCCTTAACCCCAGAGCCGGAAGCCCCCCTTGCTGTCCCAGAGCTGCAGGTCGTGGCCTCAGATGCAACGCGAGTGAGGGTGGCCTGGGGACCTGTTCCTGGAGCCAGCGGATTCCGCATTAGCTGGAGGACGGGCAGTGGTCAGTGTGGGGTGCATGGGAGGATTCCTGAGGGGAAGGATCGGGACTGGGGACCTGGGGCACGGCAGGAGCCATGCTGGCATCGCCCTCTCATCCTAGATCCGGAGAACAGCCAGACGTTGCCCCCGGGCTCTACTGTCACAGACATCACGGGGCTGCGGCCTGGAACCTCCTACCAGGTGGCGGTGTCGGCCCTGCGCGGCAGAGAGGAGGGCCGCCCTGGGGTCATCGTGGCGCAGACTGGTCAGAGCTGCCCCCGTCCCTTGGCTCTGCCTCCCGTTCCCCTGTAGACCCTATGCTGCCCTTCCCAGACCCTTGCTCCTCCCCAGAACGTGTCTCCCCCTTCGGGCCCTCACCGCCTCCTCCTGAGAGTCCCTGCTTTGCCCTTAGTCCCCGTTGCCTCCTTTCAAGCCCTCCCTCCCTCCCCTAGATCCCCCTGCCTCTCCCCTCAGACCCCGAGTTGCCAGACCCCCCTCTTCTCTTAGACGTAACTCGGCCCAACTCTTCCCTGCCTCCTAGTGCCCCGTCAGGTTTCCATCTGCAGGGCCCGGTGTTCTCTCCGAGTCCGGCCACCTGCCAATTCCCACTGTCCCCTCTGTCAGAACCCCTGGTCTGCTGTCCGTCTGCCTCTGTTAGACTCCCATAGCCTGCCTCTCCCCTTGGTCCTCTGCTGCCTCCCCCACCGGACTCCCCATTTTCTCTCCCGCCAGACCCACTGGGCCCAGTGAGGACGGTCCGTGTGACCCAGGCTGGCAGCTCCTCTGTCACCATCGCCTGGACCAGGGTTCCTGGCACCACAGGATACAAGATTTCCTGGCACTCGGGCCGCGGTGAGGACCAGGGGTTTGGGACGGTCGCGGGATGGGGGGTCAGGTCTGGCTAGAATGGGGGCTGGGTAGGAGATGGGGGACAGAGCCTGGCCGGCCCTGGAGCTGCCTCTATCCCTGCTCCCAGGCCCAGAGAAATCCCAGTTGGTTTCTGGGGATGCCACAGTAGCGGAGCTGGACGGGCTGGACCCGGACACTGAGTATACGGTGTATGTGAGGGCCCACGTGGCTGGCGTGGAAGGGGCCCCTGCCTCTGTGGTTGCAAGGACTGGTGAGTGGACCCTGGCCACAAGGGATGCCAGCCATCCCTCACTGAGCATCTGCCCGTGGTATTCCTGCCTGCCCCTGCTGCCCACTCCATCCTTGCTCTGTCACTGCCCTGTCCACACTGGCCCAGTCCATACTGACTAGTGTCCACCCTCAGTGACCTCCTGGCTGCCCCCAGTGCCCACTCCTAGGCACTGAGCTCCCTCCGGGGTTGCCTGTGTTGACTGGCCCACACTAACCTCTTACTGGCCTTCAGACGGCCCCTTCACTGACCACGCATGCCCTGCCCCCTGTTCTCTGCCACACACGCAGTGGCCCCAACCCCTTACCCTGCCTCTGCCCCCAGCCCCTGAGCCCGTGGGAAGAGTATCCAAGCTGCAGATCCTCAATGCTTCCAGCGACGTTCTTCGGGTCACCTGGGTAGGGGTCACTGGAGCCACAGCCTACAGACTGTCCTGGGGCCGGAGTGAAGGTATGAGGCTCCTTGTCCTCATCCTTGTCTTTCGTGGCCAGGATGGCCTGGGCTGATTAACCACGCCAAGCCTTGACCCTGGGCAGGCAGTCAGTGCTTTCGTATGACCTGGAGCCCGGCACAGACCATGAGGTGACTCTGAGCAATGATCATTGCCTTCTGTTCACCCGGCCAGGTGGCCCCACCAGGCAACAGATCCTCCCGGGAAATACAGACTCTGCAGAGATCCGGGGTCTCGAAGGCGGAGTCAGCTATTCCGTGCGAGTGACCGCACTTGTTGGGGACCGCGAGGGCTCACCTGTCTCCGTTGTCGTCACCACGCGTAGGCGAGCTTGGCCTGGAGCGAGCCTTGATTGGTGGCTTGGATGGTTTGGGGGCGGGGCTTGTGCTCGGATTGGAAGAGGGGCGGGCAGTGAGCCTCTGCGAGTCTGAGAGGAGAGAAGGATGAAGCCTTGGGGACGCAGAGGACGGGCTGGGGGCGGTGCGTGTGCCGCGTTGGCCCAGGATTGGCTGTCTGGGGTGGGCGTGCCCAGGGTGGGCGGAGCCTCCCTGATCCCCACGCTTTCTCTCAAGCGCCTGAGGCTCCGCCAGCCCTGGAGACCCTTCAAGTAGTGCAGCGCGGGGAGCACTCGCTGAGGCTGCGCTGGGAGCCCGTGCCCGACGCGCAGGGCTTCCTTCTGCGTTGGCGACCCGAGGGTGAGAGGCGCCCCCAGTAGGTTAGAAATCAGTGGGCGGGGCTGTAAGTGGAGCCGGCCGGGTGGGACAGGTCTGTGAGGGTGGGCGGGGCGACAGGACGGGTGGGCGGGGCTGCAAGCAGAGCCAGCCAAGTGGGGAAGGTCCATGGAGGTGGGCGGGGCTACAGGGGTGGTGGGGGGGGTTGCAAGCAGAGCCGGCCGCGGGCGC